TTTATTTTTTCAAAGAACTAGCTCCTGGTTTTGTTGATCTTTTGTACTGTTTTTTGTTTGTTTGTTTCAATTCTGTTTATTTCTTCTCTGATCTTTAGTATTTCTTTCCTCCTTCTAGATTTGGGCTTGATTTGCTGCTGTTTTTCTAAATCCTTGAGGTGCATGGAGAGTTCATTTGTTTGGTTCCCTTCCAGCTTCTTGATGTAGGCACCAATTGCTATAAATTTTCCTCTTAGCACTGCTTTTGCTGTGTCCCACAGGTTTTGATAGGTTGTGTTATCATTTTCATTTGTTTCTAGAAAGCTTTTGATTTCTCTTTTAATTTCTTCGATGACCCACTGTTCATTTAGGATCATGTTGTCCATTCTCCATATATTTGCATATGGTGTAGAGATTCTTGGGTTGTTGATTTCAAGTTTCACTGTGCTATGGCCTGAGAAGCTGCGTGGTATAGTTTCAATTTTTTTGAATTTGTTGAGGCTCCCTTTATGGCCTAGCATATGGTCAATCCTAGAGAACATTCCATGTACTGGGGAGAAATATGTGAACCCTGTGGCTGTGGGGTGGAAGGTTCTGAAGATATCTATTAGGTCTATTTGGTCTATAGTGTCAATTAGCTCTGTTGTTTCCTTGTTGAATTTCTGACTGGTTGATCTGTCCATTGGTGAGAGTGGGGTGTTGAAGTCCCCTGTTACTATTGTATTTGAATCTATATCTCCCTTTAAATCCTTTAGTAATTCTTTCAGGTAGCCAGGTGCCCTGTAATTAGGTGTGTATACACTTATAATAGTAATGTCTTCCTGTTGGATAGATCCTTTAATCATTAAATAGTGTCCTTCTCTGTCTCTTTTTTTTTTTGACAGGCAGAGTGGACAGTGAGAGAGAGAGAGAGAGAAAGGTCTTCCTTTTGCCGTTGGTTCACCCTCAGCGGCCGGCGCACCGCGCTGATCCGATGGCAGGAGCCAGGAGCCAGGTGCTTTTCCTGGTCTCCCATGGGGTGCAGGGCCCAAGCACCTGGGCCATCCTCCACTGCACTCCCGGGCCACAGCAGAGGGCTGGCCTGGAAGAGGGGCAAGCGGGACAGAATCCGGTGCCCCGACCGGGACTAGAACCCGGTGTGCCGGCGCCGCTAGGCGGAGGATTAGCCCAGTGAGCCGCGGCGCCGGCCCTTCTCTGTCTCTTTTAATAGTTTTTATGTTAAAGTCTATTTTGTCCGATATCAGGATGGCCACACCAGCTCTTTTTTGATTTCTGTTAGCTTGGAGTATCTTTTTCCATCCTTTCACTTTCAGTGTGCATACATCTTTGCTGATAAGTTGTGTCTCCTGAAGGCAACATATAGTTGGAGTCTCTTTCTTGATCGAATCAGCTAGTCTATGTCTTTTGGTAGTAGAATTAAGACCATTCACATTCAGTGTGATTACTGTTAAGTACTGTCTTTTCCCATTCATGTTTCCTAAACGAGCTGTTTATGTATTTTGAACTTTGTTTGTAGGTTACTCTACATTCGCTTTTTTTTTTTTGTAGTGAAGTTCTTGTTTTTGTATTTCTGTGTGCAGCACGTCTTTGAGCAAGTGTTGTAGGGTTGGACGTGTGGATACAAATTCTTTCAGTTTCTGTTTGTCTTGGAAGATCTTTATTTCCCCTTCATTCATAAATGATAGCTTTGCAGGGTATATAGTATTCTAGGTTGGCATTGTTTGTCTTTTAAAACTTGAAATATATCATGCCATTGTCTCCTTGCCAGTAGTGTTTGTGATGAGAAGTCTGGGCTGGGGTGTCTGATTAACCTACCCCTGAATGTGATTTGTCGTTTTTCTCTGGCACATTTTAGGATTTGTTCTTTGTGTGTCACTGAGCTGAGTGTTGCCACAATGTGTCACGGTGAATTTCTCTTCTGGTCTACCCTGTTCGGAGTCCTGGCTATCTGTTGAATTTGCCTGTTATCCAGCTGCCTTTGTTTGAAGTTTTCTGATATTATTTCATTGAAAACACCTTCCAATCCATTCTCTCTTTCCACCCCCTCAGGGACTCCTATTATCTGAACATTACACCGTTTGATTGAATCTTGTAGGTCTCTGACCATATTTTTTAATTTTTTAATTTCTTCTTCCTGCATTTGAATTGACTGTATTATTTCTGGAAGTTTGTCTTCGAATTCTGATATTTGGTCTTATAGGTCATCTGCTCGATTTCCGAGGGATTCCATGGTGTTTTTTATATGGTCAACTGAGTTTTTCAATTCCAGAATTTCATTCTGGCTTCTCTTTAGGATCTCTAATCCTTGGGCTTGTTTTTCGTTCAGCTCTCGACACTGTTTCTCATTATTTCTAAGTATTTTGATTATTAATTTTCTTAATTTTTTTTCTGGCATAGTTTCAAATTCTTCTTCTTCTTCAGCCTCTGTTATGGTTGGTTTAGCCTGCTCCATTGGTGAGTTTATATGTTCTTCTATATTCTTATTGTGGTTTTTTTTTTTTTTGGCATTCCGTCTGGGTGATTTTTCAGGTAGACTGGTGTCAGGGCTTTGAGCTGCCCTCCCTCGCTGCCTGCCCCTGTGCAAGGAGTGTCATGTTGTTCCACTCCACCTTTGGGCTCCGCCTCCGAAGGTTAGTGCTGAGGCAGAGGCAGTTCTTCTTTAAGCCCAAATGTAAACAAACAAGATGGCTGCTTCTCGCCCACTGCAGCTCTGATTTGGGGGAGGGATCCTGGCCTGTTTAGACCCTCTATTAGTCCCCCTGAATCGCGCACTCTTTCTGCAGGTGCCACTCACTCTGTTCTGTTTCCTATTTCCTCCCCCACTCAGTTGTGCATATCTCAGTGTCCGTCCCAGGATGGGTTGGGGGAGGGGCAGCGGCGGCTGTTACAGTGGTGCTGTGTGAGCACCCTGTCTCACCTTGGCTTCCAGCGCTGGTGCATAGACACTCTTGCTGGTGTCCTGCTCTTCCGGCATCTGTGTCCTCCTCGCAGGTCCACCCTGTCTCCCCTGTTTCGGAAGAGCTTCCCTTTCCCCAAAACTACAAATTCTCACCCCTCTTTGACCCTTCCCTTCCCAGACCATCGGTGTGCTCCCTCCCTATTCCGCCATCTTCCTAAATTCCTCTCGGTTTCTTCTTCTTTTATCTCTCTCTTTTTTGCTATGGCAGCTTTTATTGTGTGCTGTGACCCTGTAGATAAGTGGAATAATGTCTACTTTCAGTGAACCTCTAGAGGCTTGTAGTGGATGTGGTCAGGTACTCTGTTCATTTCTCCAGATAAGGTAAAAGTGTGCCTAAGGTGACACACCCAGGTTTGTTGTAATTCTTCTCTCTTTGTCTCTCTCTCTCTCTCTCTCTCTCACTCTCTCTGTGTGTGTCTGTGTTTATGTGTCTCATCTCTGTCTCTCTTTTTCACATAAGGGAGGTATGTTCAGCTCAGCTGAGCTCCCCTCCTCAATGGAGACCAGTGCCTAAGTGCTAGCCCCAGTGGGTATAATGTTCATATGCTTGGTCTCAAAGACCACACAAAGGATCTGTTCTGTCCTCAGTGTAAGTACAGATTCCACATCAGTGTCTCTCACCAGGTAACCAGGAACACCTGAGTTTGTGGAGTCTCACACTGAGACTGCTCAAAGTCCCAGCCATACTCTGAGTGCTCCCACACATCCTCATTTTTTCACAGTCCCAGTGTAGAAGCTTCAACAGTCATAAGCTCCTAGCCCCCTGTTATTTCTCCCCACCAGTCAGGAGTCTCCACTCGTCTGGTTGCTGGGTAGAGTCACGAGCTGGCACTGCTTTTATGTATGTCCAAAATGACACCCACTCTATCAGCTTGTACCAGTACACATTTTTAAAGTGATTAGAGAGAGAAATGTGTATGTACTATCCCTTTTTTTTTCTGCTCTGGTTTGGCTGATACACTTTCCCCCATGGAGCTTCAAGCTTCATTCCCTCTAGGCTCTTCCTGCCTCTTTTTCACCAGTGACTTGGGCTGCTGTGGTCTAGTCTCACCTCACTTTCCAGCGCTGGTGTGTATGCTCCCTGCTGTTGGAGTTCCGAGCCATGGGCACCCACGCCCTCCATGTAGGTCCACCATGTTCCTCTAATTGCATTAGTGTTTCCTGATGATTCTTTTTATTTCTGTGGTGTCTGTTGTTACATTCCCTTTTTCATCTCTGATTTTATTGATTTGGGTCTTTTCTGTTCTTTTTTTAGTTAGTTGGGTCAATGTTATGTAAATTTTGTTTATTTTTTTTTAAAAACAGCTCTTCATTTTACTGATCTCTTGTAATTTTTTTTATTCAATTCTGTTGATTTCTTCTCTAATTGTAATATTTGTCTTCTCCTACTAGTTTTGGGTCTGGTTTGCTGAAGTTTTTCTAGATTCTTGAGATGCATTGATAGCTCATTTATTTGGTGCCTTTCCAATTTCTTGATGTAGGCACCTATTGCTATAAACTTTCCTTTTAACACTGCTTTTGCTGTATTCCATAAGTTTTGGTATATTTTGTTGTTATCCTCATTTACTTCCAGAAAGGTTTTGATTTCTCTTTTGATTTCTTCAATGACTTAGTGTTCATTCAGGAGTATGTTGTTCAGTCTCCATGTGTTTGCATATGCTCTAGCGATTCCTGAGTTGCTAATTTCCAGCTTTATTCCTTTATGGTCTGAGAAGCTGCACCGTATAATTCTAATTCTTTTGAATTTGCTGAGACTTGCTTTATGGCAAGTATGTGGTCAATCCTAGAGTAGGTTCCATGTAGTGCTGAGAAGAATGTGTATTCTTTAAGTGTAGGGTGAAAAGTTATATTGATATCTGTTAGATCCATTTGGGCTATAGTGTCGATTAAATCTGCTGTTTCCTTGTTGATCTTCTGTCTGGTTGATCTGTCTATTTCTGAAAGTGGAGTATTGAAGTCCCCCAATACTACTGTATTGGAGTCTAAGTCTCCCTTTAAGTCCTTTAATATACCTTTTAAATAAACCAGTGCCCTGTAATTAGGTGCATATACATTTATAATAGTTACATCTTCCTGTTCAATTGATTCCTTAATCATTATATAGTGCCCCTCTTTGTCTCTCTTAACAGTTTTTGTGTTAAAGTTTATGTTGTCCGATATTAAGATGGCTACGCCAGATCTTTTTTGGTTTCTGTTGGCATGGAATATCTTTTTTCACCCTTTCACTTTCAGCCTGCATGCATCTTTGTTGGAAAGATGTGTTTCTTGTAATCAGCAAAGAGATGGTTTTTGTTCCTTAATCCATTCAGCCAGTCTGTGTCTTTTAACTGGAGAGTTGAGTCCATTAATGTTCAATGTGACTATTGATAGGTAGTGACTTTGCCCTGCCATTTTCCCAAAGATATTTTCTAATATATGCTTTGAACTTCCTGTGATGTTTTACTGGGAGGTTTTCTTCCTTTCCCTTCTTTCATATTGATGGCCGTGTTTCTGTGTTTCTGTGTGTAACATATCTTTAAGCATCTTTTGCAGGACTGGACGAGTGGCGAGAAATTCTTTCAATTTCTGTTTGCTATGAAAGGTCTTTATTTCACCTTCATTCACAAATGAGAGCTTTGCAGGATATAATATTCTGGGCTGGCAGTTTTTCTCTCTTAGTACCTGGGCTATATCTTGCCATTCCCTCTTAGCCTGTAGGGTTTCTGATGAGAAGTCTGCTGTGAGTCTAATTGGAGATGCTCTGAGAGTAATCTGAGGTTTCTCTCTTGCACATTTTAGAATCTCTTTATTTTTCACTGTGTTGAGTTTGATTACAACATGTCATGGTGAGAATCTCTTTGAGTCATGTTTATTAGGGGTTCTGTGAGCTTCTTGTACTAGGATGTCTCTGTCCTTCTCCAAACCCAGGAAGTTCTCTGCTAGTATCTCACAAAAAGGGCTTCTAATCCTTTCTCTCTCTCCATGCCTTCAGGAACTCCTAGAACCCAAATGTTGGGGTTTTTAATAGTATCCTGTAGATTTCTGACATTATTTTTTAGATTTCTAATTTTCTCTTCTTTTCTTTGGTTTGACTGTATACTTTTCTGTGCTCTGTCTTCTAAGTCTGATATTCTCTCTTCTGCTCTACTCATTCTGTTTTTTTTTTTTTTTTTTTTTTTTTTTTTTTTTTTTTTTTTTTACCGGCAGAGTGGATAGCGAGAAAGACAGAAAAAGGTCATCCTTTTTCTGTTGGTTCACCTCCCAATGGCTGCTGCGGCGGGCGTACTGTGCTGATCTGAAGCCAGGAGCCAGGTGCTTCTCTTGGTATCCCATGTGGGTGCAGGGCCCAAGCACTTGAGCCATCCTCCACTGCACTCCCTGGCCACAGCAGAGAGCTGGCCTGGAAGAGGAGCAACCAGGACAGAATCCGGCACCCCGACCAGGAATAGAACCCGAGGTGAAGGCACCGCAGGTGGATAGAACCCGAGGTGAAGGCACCGCAGGTGGAGGATTAGCCTATTGAGCCGTGGTGCCAGCCACTCATTATGTTTTTAAGACGCTCTAATGCATTTGTCATTTGATCTATGGAATTCTTCATTTCATTTTGATTTCTCTTCGCTATCACAATTTCTTGTTCTACTAGTTTCTTCATTTCATTTTGATTCCTCCTTAAGATTTCATTTTCATGAGAGAGATTTTCTATCCTGTCCAGTAAGGATTTCTGTAGTTCAAGAATTTGTTTTTGAGAACATCTTGATGTTCTTATCATAAATTTTTTGAAATCCATATCTTGCATTTCTTCTATCTCATCATATTCATAATCTTGAATTGGGGTTGTTAGTTCATTTAGGGGCATCAAATATCTTCCTTGTTCTTGTTTCCTTGGTTTCCATGTTTGTTGCTTGGCATTGTGGAGATATTCTTTGGTTTATTCTTTTTTTTTTCCCTCGCCGTGGTGGGTTTTCTCGGTATACTATGTCCTTAGATTAAGTGGACTGTCTGCTTTTGATGGATCCTTAGAGTCTTGTGATGGGTGTGGGCAGTGAGCTCTGTTGGGTTCTTCAGCATTAAGGGTGTGCCAAAGGTGACACACCCAGGTTAGGCATGGTCTCTCTCTCTCTCTCTCTCTCTCACTCTCTCGCTCTCTCGCTCTCTCTCTCTTATTCAGAAGGGAAGTATATCCGCACAGCTGAGCAGAGTTGAAGGCAGTCCTGAGCTCTGAGCTCTGGCCCCTGTGGGTATAATATTCTTCTGCTGTGTCCCAAGGACCACACAAGGGATCTGTGCAGACTTCAGTGTAAGCTCAAATTCCCCTGCAATCCCTCACAGGGTTGCCAAGGTTACCGAGTTTGTGGCATCTCCAGAGAGTACTCACTTCTCCGGTACTCTGTGAGTCCCCTCCCACACTCTCAGTCTTTTTTTTCCCACCGTCTCAGTTCATTAACTCCACACATTTACTAGGTCCTAACCTCCTGTTATTTCTCCCCACCAGAGTCAGGTTTTTCTGCTTGGCTGATGGCAGGCGCAGCTTTTACATATGTCCAAAATGGTGCCTGCTCTTTGTCTTGCTCGGCTTTGTAAGGTGATGAGTGGAGAGAGAGGCTCGTGTCTGTGCTGGTCCCCCTTATTTATTCATTTTTTTCTCTCCTCCAGTCAGCCTAGTGAACTTTCCCCAGCAGGGCTTCAAGCCTCATTCCCTCTAGGCTCTTCCTGCCGCTTCCCTGCCAGTGTCTTGGGCTACTGTGTTTTCGCCTCATCTCCCTTTCCAGTGCTGGTGTGTAGACTTGGCAGCTGGGGTCCTAAGCTGTGGGTGTCCGTGCCCTCTACATAGGTCCACAGTGTCCCACTAGTTCCGGAAGAGTTTCCTCTTCTGATTTTCCCCTAACTTTTCCCTGAAACTACAGTATCTCCACTTTTATTAAACTATCTTTTCCCGGACTATCAGTGTGCTCCCTCCCTATTCCGCCATCTTGAAATTCTTCCCCCTTCAATAAATTATCAAAGGATTATTCATATTTAATATTATATGGGGCTGGCACTATGGCACAGTGGGTAGAACTTCTGCTTGTGATGCCAGCATTCTATATGGGCACTGGTTCATGTCCCAGCTTCTCCTTGTCCAATCCAGTTCCTTGATAATGGACTGAGAAAAGTAGCAACAAATGGCCCAACTGTTTGGGCTGTTGCCACCCATGTGGGATACACAGAAGAAGCTCCTGGCTCCTGACTTCAACCCAGCCCAGCCCATCCCAGCACTGGCTGTTGTGGCCATCTGGGGAGTGAACCAGCAGATGGAAGATTTTTCTCCCTGTTTCTATCTTTTTCTGAAACTCTGACATCAAATAACTAAACCATTTTAAAAAATTTAACTGGTCCTATCATTTCCCTTGAACTTCAAATGGATAAAAATTCCTTCTGTTGCAAGTCTCTTATTTTCACATTCTCCAATAGAGGGCTCTATCAGCCTGCTGGAGGAGAATCTCTTAAATTTGAGCCGCTCATGGCCTGGAGTGTCAAGGGTCTTCTTTGAGCATTGAGGCCACAAACTGCTTACCCCAGGTCTGCACAAAGATATCCGCAGGTCAGAGAAGGAGGACTGGGTACCTCAGTGTTACTAAATATTTTATAACCTTCTCAGAGGGTGAAGTAATTGAGGATGCTTTCACAAACGCTACCAGGACACTCTAAGCATTTCAGATTAATCTGTGCGGGAATTGGCTTAAATTAAAGCAACAGGGGTGGGTATTTAGGCAGGAATTAAGGTGTATACTGGGACTCTAGCACACCATATCAGGTCACCTAAGTTAATGTCCTGCTACACTTCCAATTCCAGCTTCATGCAGCGTGCATGCCGGAAGGCATCAGGTGATGGGTCACATACTTGAGTCCCTGCCATCTACATGGGAGACCCAGGTTGAATCTCAGGATCCTGGCTTTGCCCTTGCCTATCCCTTGATGTTGTGTGCATTTGTGGTAGGAACCCATGGATGAGAGGTCCCTCTGTCTCATTCTGTCCCTCTGAGGTTCAAATAAAGAATTAACAAGAAGACTTGGGGTAGAACAAAAAGGACTGAAGCTCATGAGTTCTTCCTGAGTGAGCAGGCACGACAGCCAGAGGAGCTTGCAATTCTTTATCCAGGAAGCTGTGTTCAGAAGCCAGAGCAGCTCAGGATCAAGGAGGGCAGAGAACAAAAGGTGGCTGGGCTGTGCAGCTGGATTTCTCTCAGGGAAGTAATCCTGCTCACCAGTGTTTGTCGATGGGAGCTTTTTGTTCACTGGTGACTTGGTGGTTCTAGACTTCCAGATTTAAAGGGACTATATCCTTAGAAGGGGTGGGGTACAGTAAGTGCCACACTCCTATCTTGTGAATTCACAAGTGACTGTGATTTTGAAATTTTCTTTCTGCTTACAGAACCAAATAGATTTACATCAATGAATGATTAACTCCCAGAATTCCAAGGATACAGAGTCCCATAAAGATAACCAAGGAGTGCTTCAGGGTCCATGGTTGGGGAGGTCAGAGAGATACCGCTGTTCTGAAAGGATCAGCAAGTTTTCCAGCCAGATGAGCACTGCTCATCAGTTTCAGAAAGGCACATATTTAGACGGTATCAATGATATCTAGAGACTCTTTCTAGAAGTATTTCATGCCTGGAAATCAGTGGTCTGTGGATCTCCAGCTTCAGACCACATTCTGTGTCCCACCTTCTTCCTGATCTGCTGCCCATAAATTGGCATCTAGACAGTCAGTCAGAGGCACAGCGTCCTTACAGTGGTATTGTTAGCTGGAAACACTTGGTTAAAATATTATATTCACCGAATTAACTGAATTGTTCATAACAATTTTTCCTCATTGGTATAAATAATTAACCTCTATGGTTAGTTCTTGAGACTGTAATTATCTTCTTCCCCTTTTAACTTCTACCTACTTGTTTTTATCATCCATGGATTTTTAAATTGAATCATTAAGAGAATGGCTGAAAATTGATAACTTTCTATATCATATATTCTACATTTCGGGCCTGAAATTCCTTGTAAGGGAGACTATTTATTCTCCTTATTTAATAAATATATGTCTCTGTGTGTGTGCACATGCATCTCTATGGGATCTTATATATTACCACTGTATTTTTTTACTATCACCATTTATTTTGATGTTCAAATTCTCTCGGATTTGTCCCCAAGGGTCCTTTCAGGTCAGCTCATGAATCTTTTCTCATCCTCCTCCTTATGCTTACAGTGGTATTGTTAGCTGGAAACACTTGGTTAAAATATTATATTCACTAAATTAACTGACTTCAGTTTTCCCCATTGGCGCACACATAAACACACACATACACACACACATACAGAGTCTTATATTAAATAAATGAAGGAGAATGAATAATCTCCCTTAAAAGGGATAGCAAGTAATAGATGTAGAATAAATGATAGATTTAGAAAGTCATTAATTTTCAACCATTCTCTTAATGATTCAGTTTAAAAATCCATGGATGATGGAATCAAGTAGGTAAAAGTTAAAAGAGGAAGATGATAATTACAGTCTCAAAAATTTTCAATAGAAGTTATTTATTTATACTAATGGGAAAAACTTAATTTATTTAGTGAATATACTTTAACAAAGTGTTTCCAGTTATTTTCTTGTTCTTAAAACACACTTTATCTACTGAGTAGACAGACACAGAACAAGTTCCTGGCTCCTGGCTTCAGATTGGCTCAGCTCTGGCCATTGCAGCCAATTGGAGAGTGAACCAGTGGATGGAAAACCTTTCTCTCTCTCTCTCTCTCTGCCTCTCCTCTCTCTGTGTAACTCTGACTTTCAAATAAATAAATAAAGCTTTAATAAAAAGTGAAGGGGAGAAGGGGGAGGAGGAGAGGGAGGGTTAGAGGAAGGGAGAGGGAGAGAGAGAAACAGGGAAAAGGGAATAGCATTATATTCTTAGAATTGTATCTATGAACTATATTGAACCTATGAAAAGCTTAAAAAATAGAATTTAAAAAGAAACCAAAATCTGGGAACTCAATATGACCATTCCAACTGGAATTCCTTTACTTTTAGATCCTTCAGTGAACAAAGCTAGGAAAATCAAATCAAGTCTGTTTGGAGTGCTCTCTCTCTCTCTCTCTCACACACACACACACACACACACAATAAACCCCTAATTTACTGCCCATTTCTGTGACATAAATACAGTGTTCTTAGCATGGTCAGTTTGAAGTAACCAGTGGTTTGACATCTCAAAAAATAACAATATTTAACAATTGATTCCAGAGAACTGGGATAGGCTGACTCCCTCACACCAGTGTAAATATATCTGTCTGTATCTACTTCTATCCATCTGTCTATCTGTTTTCTGTATATAGTGTTAACACATCTTTAATAAAGAAGAATATTCTGTATCACTAGACATTGCTATTGAGCATTGGCCTGTGGCTATTGGTCCGTCGCTAATTAAACGATGTCTTAATTAATTAAATTTCAAGTTCAAATGGTTCTCTAAGATTAGCGCTTACAATAATTGACAGTAGAGCAATAAACTTTTGAGCTTTTTGGTTTTATGTGGAACATGCCAAAGGGAAAAAAGGATTTCATATTTGAATTTACCCCAAACATCAAAGCAATCACTAGTAGATCAGAACTCTGTATACCTTTTCCACACTCATTCTGCATTGTTTTTAGCTATGAATTACATAGTAGAAGCAGGCATGATGTACATTTCAGGGCTTTAGGGATGAAAAGCATCTAATCTGGTCTTCACAGACCAGTGCCTGACCATGCTTAGCTTCTCTATGGGGAAAAATTAAAAGTGAGGCCAACTTATGGTCATAAGGTCTGGTTGGTGCGCAAGAATTAGATCAATGATGGGGCAGATATTAGGGAAAACTGCACTCAGGTCATGACTGAATAAGCACTGTAATCTCTTCTCACTGAACCTCACTGTTTACATGCCGCGCAGTATCCCATCAACACACTGCTGCTTCAGCAGGCTCGTGTCAGCCACCACCCTGCCACATTAGCTCTTGTTCTGTCACTTCTGTGTATCCTGAGATGGCCCTGTTTAAAGATGTGTGCCTTGTGTCTCCTAGTACCTAATACCTCTCAAAGGAATAGCCCATGTGATTCAAGCTAGGTTGCGCCCACAGATCACATCTGGTCAAAGTGCAGATTTTGACTCTGTGGTTCTAGGTTGGGGGTTGAGACCAGCATTTCTACTGAGATCTGGTTTGCTGGGAATGCTGCTCCTCCCTCTGAGTAACCAGAGTCTATCTGTGGCCCATATTTAGATGAAAAAAAAATCCTTCAATTTCCCCTACAATGAAACCTTAGTATTAGAAACTCTCAAACTTTTTCAGTCCCTATTGTAGCTAGAATAAAATGATTTTTCCTGGGGAACAATACTACCTGCTACTTGTGGCTAAAGTATGTTTTTGCAAAAAGATTTATTTAAATTATTTATTTGAAAGGCAGAGTTAGAGAGAGAGGAAGATACAGAGAGATTTTCCATCCACTGGTTCACTCCCCAAATGGCTGCAAGGGCCAGAGCTGGGCCAGGCCAAAGCCAGGGCTTCTTTCAGGTTTCCCATGTGGGTGCAGGGGCCCAAGCACTTGCTCCATTCTCTGCTGCTTTCCCAGGCACATTAGCAAGGAGCTGGATCAAAAGTGGAGCAGCTGGGACATGAACTGGTGCCCATATGGGATGCCAGCATTGCAGGCAGCAACTTAACCCATCACACTACAACACTGGCCGAGCTAAAGTACTTTTACAATTGCCCATGAGACATATCAGTAACACTGAGTGTGTCAGAAATGCTCTCTCCTGAAATGACCCAGTTCTGGTGGCAGTGAGGATGGCACAGTGTGGGACAGATGACCAAGAGTAGCATAGATCTTGGGAAAAACAACTGAAATAATTCTTTCCTGGTGCTGTAAGAGAGACATCAGGCCGATTACCCCTCCCTGTGTCTCTTTCAATTGCTTTACCACTTTTACCTTTGTGGATCTCGGAACGTCTCTTCATCTACTTGGTGATGTTTTGCATTGACCTGCTGTACCTGAAAGGCGTTTCCTCTCCTTTTAGCTCTGATATGGAGCTTGTAGCCCAAGCAGTTACATTTGTTTTGGCTGGCTAGGAGACCACTGGCAGTACTCTTTCCAATATTTTGTATTTATTGGCCCCTCACCCTGATGCCCAACAGAAGCTGCAGGGGGAGACTGATGCAGTTTTACCCAATAGGGTGAGAGGAAGATCCTGGAGAGTGGTGAAGCCAGGAGCCTCCCTCAGGGCTCACTAGGTGACTGCTGCACAAAGTGTGAACATCAAATCTTTACTGATATTCCTTAGGAAGATACAAAACAAAGAAACACAGCTGATGGATACCACTCGCAGAAATGTAAATTCTTTGTAAAACAGTAGTGATCCTACTCTACTGGATATTTGTTCCTGCAATAATTGAAGGTCAGACACATCCACAGTAAGCATTTATTGATGCTTGCTGGTAGTTACTCTGCTAAATGTGGCTGGACTTGCTCTGCTTTGCTGCTGACTGAGCAAGGCGGCCCTGGCCTGCACTGTGCAGGCTGACTCTGCTCCACACCCCTTTCATCAACCAGTTATACAGCTGGTGGTGAAGAAGTCAAGATGTGAACAAGGGTGTATGGATCCTGAGAAAACTCCTAACTTCTACAATATGGACTCTCCAGTGCAACACCCAGCAATGGTTGTATACTGCATACACTGTTTTTATGTCTCTGCCCAAACTGGGATTCTCTGGGGTGTGAGGAGACCTGGTGTTTGAGAGTGGTGTGCCTGCTGTGGCAGTAAGGTGGACACAAGGATCTTCTTGAGGACTGCAGTCAAGTCCTGCAGCAGCAGCTGGGCGTCTAGAGGAGCAACACAGGATGGGGCGGAGTGTGGGTTCCTAGCCTCTGCAGAACTTCCACTAGAACTGAAGTTGCTGTCCTGGTAGATCTGTTTTTAACCTTCTATTGCTATACTTGGGATAGAATGGAGTTAGTTTCTCTGCAAATAATTGATAGCATTTTTATATAATATAGTATTTATCTCTAAATTTCTACATGTAATTCAAGTGTTTGCCAAGCAGGATTTTTCAACTAAGGAATCTGAGGTTTGCTTTTTCCATTTTCTTGATTGCTACAAATGTGTGAGGCCTTTTTTTTAAAGGATTAAAAGCACCTATTACTTTGGGTTATTTTACTTGACAGTAATATCCATAGTCTATTGGACATGATTAGTCACATGAGAAAGAAAAAGCTCTACAGGACTGTGCTAAGAATTTCAGGTGCTGGATAGTTGAATTGTCCCAAAGTTCTGCTATATTCTTTAACTGTTCCCCACATATTATTGAGCAAATCAAAGCCATGGTAGTTATTAACATGTTTATAAATGAGAAGATCCTTTACCAACATGAGCTTTCTTTAGAGGGCTTAACATTTCAATACTCTGCATCAACTGAGTTGAAACTTAATTCCAAATCTCAGTTTACCTAATTCTGCTTCCTTACTTCCCAGGGCCCTGTTGATTATGATGCCCTATTGCAGATAGAATATCTGGAAATGGTGGTGAATGAAACTCTCAGATTATTCCCAACATATAGCAGACTCGAGAGGAGCTGTGAGAAAGATATTGAAGTGAATGGGGTATTCATCCCCAAAGGGACATTAGTGAAAGTATTGATAGGTCCTTCACCGAGACCCAAAATACTGGACAGCGCCTGAGAAGTTCTGCCCTGAAAGGTACAGACCCCATGGGAAAGGGAGGCCCCTCTAAATTAGGCTAGTCCATGCACATTCTGATGTCTGTTTCTCTAGATAGAATAGAGGTGATTGTAAAACAACTTGCTTTTAAGTGTCTTTTTCCAGAGATTTGTTTTATTTACTAAGATGATAATCATGGCAACTTTACAGACTATAAACTAGAACAAAAGAACTATACCCACTCATATTCTCAACACATTAAAATAATGTGATATATATCCTTACAGTAACATATCTAGGTTTTTTTTTTTTTAAAAAACTAGAATAGTATCACATTTGACTTAGTTTGAACAGCTGCTAACTTCTCACAGTAACTCAGAAGCTATTCTATGTTGTTACATATACATGAGAGGGGTTCAAAAACCTGATGAAAACTCATTAATTCCACTTTTTCCATTAACATTTTGAAGCCCCCTCCTATACAAACACACATGTACAATCTCTATAAAGCTGTTTATACAATGTTTGTACCTTCAATCAATCTCCATGTGCCCATTACCTGTACTGATAATCACAGACCCATGTCAGCTGCCCCATCCGGACAACCACAATCCCCGAGTGCCATGACTGTGAAGCACATCTACTGTAAACAGTTCAGGATGTTTCCCAAGATACAAGGACTCTTAAAACACACAGCACGGTTTTATTATCATTTTCCCCAAATCAGCACTTTTTTCCTGAAAGTAAACTAATATGAGGAATCGAATTTGAGTAAACTATGGGTTTAATGTTCAAGGAATTTATAAACTAGTGTAAGAGTCAGGGAAGGAAATTTGTGATGATATTACAGTAACCTCACTGCCTGTGTAAACTATCTGACTTACACCTCTCTGTGAGTGTGTGGGAGTGGGGGCAGAGAGAGAAGGAAAGGGACACAGAGATTGAGAGAGAAGATAGAGGAGGAAGAGATGAAGGAGGAGTAAGACGAGGGGGAAGGGAGAAGAGGAGGAGAGGGCAGAAAAAAAGGAGAGCCAAGCATATATGGGAAGCAGAAATAACCATTACAACAGTGGGAAGCATTTTCTCCTGCTCTTCCTCATTGTGCATATGACCAATATTAAGTGTGAGTTGAGGCAGAAACTTACTGTCCCTTCATCTGTCTCATTTCCTATGTGCTTTTCAGAATATGAACTTTTCACTACCATGAATATAATGCTCAAGTTTAAAGATAAATTTTCCTGTCAACAACCTTCATATAAATGCATCTCAGCAAGACTGAGGGATCCTCTAGCGTAAGGGAAACAGGAAGGATCTTCATCCAATTTTCATAGCCAAGTAACTGTAGCAGGATTACAATGACCACTCCACAAACCTTTACTGCATACTACAGGGAGTGTGAGAGCCTTGAGTACTTCAGTTTTGTGGTTCTCATGCTTTATTAACCTGTTTTATGTACTGTTGTGGAACCAGGTTCAAGAAGAATGAGGACAGCGTAGAGCCTTATACATACCTTCCATTTGGAGCTGGACCCCGTAACTGCATCGGCGTGAGGTTTGCTCTCATGACATTGAAAGCTGCTGTTGTCAGAGTCCTGCAGAACTTCTTCAAACCTTGCAAAGAAATACAGGTCAGACGTAAACTTTGTGAAGAATGTTTGATTGAAAGGGGTTTTAATTGAGAGAAAGAATACGCTCTCTTTTTCATTTTTTTAAAATCTGTTCTGTGCACCAAAGAATCTTTTAGAATACATCTGTAAATCTTTGGGGAATTTTGGTTCTGGTATTCTAAATCTGACTTTGTGGAACAAAATATAAAAATCACCCAGTGTCAATGCAGATTAACATCACTTTATTATTTGTAATCTTCTAAAACTACAGCAAAAAAACCTGTTTTCTTGTCAGTTAGAGATGGGAGTTTTGCACAGCTGTGTAGGACGATGGTTACCTCATCATGTTTTTTTTTTTAATTTTAAATCTTTAATTAGTCTTCACGTTTCTCCTTCTTTTGCTTCCAAAAGGAGAGAGCATGTGGCTCCCTCGCCTGTACATTGTCCGTGGTCCCTGGGCTGGGGCGGGTCCAGGCCACCTGTCCTCCGCCTGGGAACCTGGGGCCCATGCAGCCCCAGGCCCCTCATCATGTTTTTTTCATGGTGCTCTCTTCCACCACACTTTGTACAGGCACTCTCATGACAGTGGCTCAATCAGTGGCTGTACATAGGAATCTCTGGGATGCTTTAGGAAACTCATGCTTGGGTCATTTCAAAAATCTTAAAGTAACTCACCTAGGGTGCGGCTTGAAGAGCCACACAGTGGTTCTAGTGTGCAGCCACGGTTGGAAGTCACTGATTTATGTCATTTCTGCCAGATATGAAGGGTACTCCCTGTTCACAGTAATATAACCTTACCAAAGCTCTGCTACAGGAAAGCTGGCCTTTTTCCATACTAATAGTGATTCTTTGATACTTCTTCCCTCTCTCACTCTCTTCTCATCCTTCAAGTCCTAGTTAAATCCCATATCCCTGCAAGAGGACCTCCCCATGTGACCCAGTCCCATTCACTCCTCTGCATTTTTATTCATTACTGTATGCTATCATCATCATCATCATCATCATCATCATCTAAGTGGATATTCTGTTCTTAAACCTTCCAGTCTAGTTCTCCAATTTAAGACTATCTCTCCCTCTCTCCTCAACTTAACCTTAGCATTGGTTTTATTTTTCAATAAATTCCCAGTGGTGGCTTGCAGAGGACTCTGTTCATCTCAAGCATTAAGTAGCTGTATAATAAATTATTTGTAATTGATTGGGAGTTCTTATATGTGGATTTTAAGCTATTTTAATTTTTAAATTTAACAAATTACACTTGTATGTGTGCATGTGTTTGTCTTCCTATTTGGCTACAGAAAATATATATGCCATCCCATTAAAATTTAAACATAATACAGTGTAAATTTATATCAAGGCTTGGAGTCCCTCCTCTTAATAATTTAAAGAATAGATGTGAATGATTAATATCACATAAAGCCCAATGAGATTTATTTCTAGGGTTGTGCATTTAATAGGCAGCTCCTATCCTTTAGTAATCTTCTACATGGTAGAGGAGGAAGATGCATTTGGTTTCTATCATCTTTATGCCTTTATCACAGTTGTGTAGCTATCATGTATGTACTTTTCAAAAAAGATTTATCTATTTATTTGAAAGTCAGAGTTACGCAGAGAGAGAGAGAGAGAGAGAGAGAGGTCTTCCATCTGATGGTTTACTCCCTAATTGGCCACAATGGCTAGAGCTGCACCAATCTGAAGCCAGGAGCCAGGAGCTTCTTCTGGGTCTGCTACACAGGTGCAGGGGCCCAAGGACTTGGGCCATCTTCTACTGCTTTCCCAGGCCATAGCAGAGAGCTGGATTGGAAGTGGAGCAGCCGGGTCCGGAACTGGCACTGAGGTGCTTCAGGCCAGGGCATTAACCCGCTGCACCACAGCACCAGCCCTTATCATGTATGTACTGATAGAAGGCTCACCTCCTAGATAAAGTGGGCTCCTTGTACACCAGGGACAAGGGGGCTATTCATTGGAAAGCTATCAATCATTTATAGCCTATTTCCAAATCTCCCTATGTCCTTGCCTTTCATTCAGTAGAGATCAGAATGTTACTCTGTGGGTGGCTCCTTCAACACTGTAGGAGTGGCATGATTATAAAGTGGGATCAGGGAAATGCAAATAAAAACAACTGAGGTTCATCTCACCCCAAAAGAATGGCTCTCATACAGAAATCAACAAATGCTGACAAGGATGTAGGGGTAAAGGTACACTAATCCACTGCTGGTGGGAATGTACTCTAGAAGACAGTACAGAGATTCCTCAGAAATCTAAAAATAGATCTACCATATGACCCAGCAATCCCACTCCTGGGAATTTATGCAAGTGAAATGAAATCAGCATATGAAAGAGTGATCTGTACTCCCTTGTTTATTGCAGCTCAATTCACAATAGCTAAGACATGGAATCAACCCAGATGTCCATCGACTGATGATTGGATAAAGAAAATATGGCACATATACACTATGGAACACTACTCAGCCTTAAAAAAGAATAAAATCCTGCCTTTTACAAGAAAATGAATGCAACTGGAAACCATTATGCTTAGTGAAATGAGCCAGTTCCAAAAAAGATAAATGTCGCATGTTTTCTCTGATATGTGAAAGTTAATATAGAATAAAAAAATTATAGGAAGGAAAAAAAATGACTAGTAAAAACATTGTAAGACTTCAGGAGTTCCCCATGTACCCTACCCTGGAAATCCAAGAGAGTGCTGGAAAAGAAAAGCACAATGCTTCCTGAAGCCCCTTTTCCATCAGTAAACTGGACAGGTTCAGCAGGAAGAGGACCCGAGACTCTAAGTTGAAGACTTCCCATATAATTAAAATATGTATTACCATAGATCCAGCAGGTTGAGCCACTGCTTGGGATGCCTGAATCTTATATTGGAGTATCTGAGATCAACTCTCACCTCTACTTCCAATCCGGCCTCCTGATAATGTACCTGGGAGGCAGAATATAATGACCCAAGTATTTGGTTTCCTGCTGTCCCTGTGGGAGACCAGGATGGAATTCCTGGATCCTGGCTTCGGTCTGGTCCAGCTTTGGTTGTTGCAATAAAATGGGGAATGAACCAGTGAATGGAAAATCTCTCTGACACTCTGCCTTTTAAATAAATAAATATTTTAAATGTTATTACCTACTCAAGATCACCTTGTAATCTTTACCATACAAAAAGTTAAATGTATGTGACTGTTCACAAATGGTTTGCCATAATGCATAAGAATGCAGTTTAAGCTTTTCAAACTCACCCTTTTTGCTTACAATATAAGTCAAAAGAGCACAAGTCCATCATTATGTCTCAGGCCTAATGCAGATAGGTGTTCCATAAATAGCTTGTTCAATGAACAAATGGATCAATACTTTCCTTACACAATGCTGACACACTTCATTGGATAATTGTAAGGAATCCCAGATATATGAGGGTAAAGTAGCTTATATATTTGTAAAAAAGTATTAATTTTAATGGACTTTTTATCTTCTTTGCTTCTGTTGTTAGTGGTGCTTCAGTTATTTTGCTTCTCAATATGTTTGTTTCACTGTTGCAGATCCCCATGAAATTAGGCCATAGACTTCATTATGGACCAGAAAAACCCATAGTTCTAAAGGCTTGTATAAGATGGATCATACATGAAACCTAACATTTCTTTGAGGCTGTGCTTTGTTCTTCAAGGAAGCTGTATCCAGAAAAACAAATACTTCCATTCACTTTGTGACTAAATCACAGATGAGGATAAGCTCAACGTACTTCACTTGATGAAAGATCGGAGATTTGGTACATTCACTGAGCTTGGTTGGTTGAGGTGTAGAGTGTTACTTATTGTGTACTATAAAAGAGTTGACTAAATTTATGCCACATATGTAGAATGGCTTCTCTGATTCTCATAGGATGATTTGCAATCATGTTCAGTTAGCACCTTCAACATATACAGTGAATAAATATTTCTCAACAATTTTAACAATCGTACTGATAATTAAAATTATTGTGATGACTTTTAGTAGTGATATTTATATCAAATGTTTATGTGTAATATAGTATTATTCTGAGAAAAACAATGGAACAGAATAAAGCTCCAGAAGTTAATTCATACATCTACAACTACATCTTTAACAAACAGGCTGAATGAAAATCAATCCATGGAGAAAGAATGGGAAGTCCAAGTACAGGAGGCACATAGACCTCCTAATAGACATGAAAAGATCCTCACCACAACACATTGTAGTCAGACTTTCAACAGTAAAACATAAAGAAAGGATTACAAATGTGCATGAGAGAAATGCCAAATTACTTTCAGAGGATCTCCAATTAGACTTACAGCTGACCTCTTATGAGAAACCCTACAGCCTAGGAGAGAATGAAGAGACATAGCACAACTCTTAAGAGAAAAAAATTAGTGAACCCAGAATACAGTACCATACAAGGTTCACATTTATGAATGAAGGTGAAATAAAGACCTTCCATAACAAACAAATTGAAAATAATTTGCCACCACTCACCCAGCCTTACAAAAGCTGCTTAATGATGTGCTACACACAGAAACACAGAAAGATAGTTGGTAAACTCAAAAGACTTCCATAGCCTTGGCAACTCATGACAAGAGCCTAGGGTGATTACTGATGCCATAAACAAAAGTGTCAATTTATTAAGTCAACAACAGGAGTCACTGTGCACTTACTCCTCATGTAGGATCTCTGTCTTTAATGTTCTGTACATTGTGATTTAATGCTATAACTAGTACTAAAACAGTATTTTTCACTTTGTGTTTCTATGTGGGTGCAAACTGTTGAAATCTTTACTTAATATGGGCCGGCGCCGTGGCTCAATAGGCTAATCCTCCACCTTGCGGCGCCGGCACACCGGGTTCTAGTCCCGGTCGGGGCGCCGGATTCTGTCCCGGTTGCCCCTCTTCCAGGCCAGCTCTCTGCTATGGCCAGGGAGTGCAGTGGAGGATGGCCCAGGTGCTTGGGCCCTGCACCCCATGGGAGACCAGGAAAAGCACCTGGCTCCTGGCTCCTGCCATCGGATCAGCGCGGTGCGCCGGCTGCAGCGGCGGCCATTGGAGGGTGATCCAACGGCAAAGGAAGACCTTTCTCTCTCTGTCTCTCTCTCTCTCACTGTCCACTATGCCTGTCAAAAAAAAAAAAAAAAGAAATCTTTACTTAATATATGCTAAACTGATCTTCTGTATATAAAGAGAATTGAAAATGAATCTTGATGTGAATGAAAGGGGAGAAGGAGCAGGAGAGGGGAGGGTTGCGGGTGGGAGGGACATTATGGGGGGGAAGCCATTGTAATCCATAAGCTGTACTTTGCAAATTTATATTCATTAAATAAAAGTTAAAAAAAAGAATTTGTAACTACTTTCCCAGCCCTACAAAAGATGCTAAAGGATGCCCTACATAAACACAGAAACAGGAATATCACTATGCAAGTAGATGAACAAGAAAAATGATCCAGTTAAAGTATAAATGAAGTCCAAAATACATAAATAGAACTATTTATGGAAACATGGCAGGGCAAAGTCGGTCCTTAACAATAGTCACACTGAATGTAAATGGTTTCAACTCCCCAGTTAAAAGACACAGACTGGCTGAATGGATTAAAAAATAAAAATCCATCTATTTGCTGCCTACAAGAAACATATTTTACCAACAAGGATGCATGCAGACTGATAATGAAGAGATGGAAAAAGATAATCCATGCTAACACATAATAGAGCATCATTCCAGAGGACAAGAGGAGAGAAGATAATGACCAGCCACGAGCCGTAGGTTACTATCTTACCACATCAAGGTAGGAAGAAATTACTGTGCACCAGCTGATGCAATTTTAACTCAGAGGGAATTATACCCAACTGACTTTTTTTTTTAAGATTTATTCATTTATTTGAAGGCAGAGTTCCAGAGACGCAGAGGCAAAGATAGAGAGCAAGATAGGTCTTCCATCTATTGTTTCACTCCCCAAATGGCTTAACAGCTGGAGCTGTGGTGATCCAAAACCAGGAGCCTCCTCCAGGTCTCCCACATGGGTACAGGGGCCCAAAGGCCCAGGTCATCTTCCACTGCCTTCCTATGCCATAGCAGAGAGCTGAATTAGAAATGGAGCAGCCAGGACTTGAACCAGCAAACACTTGGGATGCTGGCACTGCAGGCAGCAGCCTCACCTGCTACACCACAGCACCAACTCCCACCCACTGACCTTTACTTCAGCCTGGAGATCTGACTGGGGTCTAAACAACTGACTGGCTTGGAGCAGGGAAGCTGCCTTGCTACCTTCCCCTCCCCAACTCCAGCATAGTGGCATACACAGCAATGAAAAGTTACATAGAACACCTCTGGTCTATGAGCATCTCAGTCAGAGTCAGGGCAAAGAGTGGGGCATACGAAAGACCCCCTTGCCTCCTGCAACTGTGGGAGTTCTGGGGCATTAGCTTGAGTTACACTCACATACTCTACAGGAGCAAGGGGGATTCACCTTAGCTTCTGGGGACCAACACCAGAAGCATCCCATAAAAATATCTTCTCCAACACTGGGAGATCTGGGTAGTGACACTACTTTACCCTGCAATACCAGGACTGTAACAAGTCATTCTAAATTTCTTGGTGCCACTGGAATACACCCAGTGGACATAGAGAAGAACCTACCTGCATTGTACCTCTCAGGACTCATACCCAGTCGCCTGAAGGATTAGAACAGTGTTCAGTTCCCTCACCTGGACCTAAGACTATGGCTGTTGGTATTATAAGCCACAGCACCAGTTGGACTCTCCTAGCAGGACTTGAGGAAGAGTCCGTCCATATCACACAGTCCTAGAGCCATGGCACTTGGTGCCCCAGCATCACTCAGGCTTCCCAGCTGGACAAGGGAGTAACCACCGTTGTCTCGCTCAGCAAAAAATAAGGCTCTGGCTATCCAATTCGCCAAGGATACTGACAGCGAACTCTCTGTGGACCAAAGATACACACCCAAGGAGATGCTTATTCATGTCAATCCACACTTCTATCACTACAGACTACAGCAGACTAGTCCACTGTGTCACTTATAGACACAGCTGACATTGATTAAGACAAAAGAAATCATTGAGAAACTACACTCCTGGGCTCACCTAGAACTAAAGGCAAAGCAACAAGCCAAGTGATACCCTGCATTCAAGTTAATCCACAAACGCTTTTTCAATTAAAACCTACTCCATAAAGATGAAGGAACAAATACACCAGATGGGCAGACATCCATGTGGTGACATAGGAGACACGAAGAATCAAGGTAGTATAATGCCTAAAAAAGCTCTCAATACTCCTCCAGAATGAGATCCTGTACTGAAAGAAATCTATGAAATGACAGACATAAAATGCAAAATAATTACTGTAGGGGCTGGTGTTGTAGTATGCAGATAAGCTGAAGCCAGCAATGCCAGAATCCCATATGGGGGCCAATTTGTATCCCAGCTGCTCCACTTCCAATCCAGCGCCATGCTAATGGCCTGGGAAAGCAGCAGCAGATGTCCTAAGTACTTGGGCACCTGTACCCATGTGGGAAACCCAGAAGAAACACTTGGTTCCTGGTTTTGGCCCAGACCAGCCCTGCTAGGGAGTGAAACAGAGGACAGAAGATCTTTCTCTCTCTCTCTCTCTCCTTTCTTTAACTCTGACTTTAAAATAAATAAGGGGCTGGCGCTGTGGTGCAGGTTAATTCTCTGCCTGCAGCGCCAGCATGCCATATGGGCGCCAGTTCTAGTCCCAGCTGCTCCTCTTCCCATCCAGCTATCTGCTATGGCCTGGGAGAGCAGTACAAGATGGCCCAAGTCCTTGGGCCCCTGCACCAAAATGGGAAACTGGGCACCTGGCTCCTGGCTTAGGATCAGTGCAGCTCTGGCTGTTGCGGCCATTTGGGGAGTGAACCAATGGACAGAAGACTTTTCTCTCTGTCTCTCCCTCTCCCTGTCTGTAAGTCTACCTCTCAAATAAATTAAATCTTCAAAAAAGAACTGTTTAAAAAATAAAATGAATTAAATTAAATAAACAAATAAATCTTTAAAAAATAATAGGGGCCAGCACTGTGGTGCAGAAGATTAAGCTGCCATCTGCAGCACCGGCAACCCATATGGGCACCAGCTCAAGTCCTGCTGCTCCAGTTCCAATCCAGCTCCCTGCTAATGCACTTGGGAAAGCAGCAGAAGATGGCCCATGTATTTGGGCCCCTGCACCCATGTGGGAGACCTGGAAGAAGCTGCTGGATCCTAGCTTTGGCCTGACTCAACCCTGGTAATTTCAGCCATTTGGGGGAGTGAACCAGTGGATGGAAGACGTCTCTCTCTCGCTCGCTTGCTTGCTGTAACTCTTTCAGTAAATGAATAAATCTTTATTATTATGATTATGATAATTATAAGGAAACTCAATGAGATGCTAAAGAATACAGATACACAGATTAAAGAAATGAGAGGAAATCAGTGACATGAATGAAAATATTACTAAGGAGAAGGAACTCATTAAGTAGAACCAAATCGACACTTTGGAGATGAAATCTTCCATCAGTGAAATAACAAATATGATTTACAGCTTTAACAGCAGAGCAGACCAAGTGGAGGAAAGAGTTTCTCAATGTGAGACAAAATTTTGAAACAGCCCAGACAAAAATAAAGAAAAATGAATGAAAAAGAATGAACAAAATCTATCTGAAATATGAGATGCCAACAAACAATCAAATATTTGAATCATAGGTATTCCTGAAGGAGAAGAAAAAGGCATTGAGAACCTGCTAAATGAAATGATAGTTCAAAGTTTCCCAGGTCTTGAAAGAGACATGGACATCCAGATACAAGAAGCTCAAAGAACCCCAGGCAGATTCAACTCAAAAAGGGCCTTTCCAAAGTATACTGTCATCAAATTGTCAAAAGTTAAAAACAAGGAGAGAATCCTAAAGGCAGTAAAAGAAAAGGATAAATTTACATACAAAGGAAAATCAATTAAATTAACGTGAAACTCTCAGCGGGAACCCTACAGGCCAGAAGAGAGCAAGGTGATATAGCAAAGGTCTGAAAAGAATAAACCTTCCAATGAAGAATATTATGCCCAGCAAACCTACCTTTAAAAAGTGAAGAAATAAAGTATTTTGCAAATGAGGAAAAACAGATTTTACCACTTTCAAAGCAGAATTACAAGGAATTCTGAAGGGCATCTTCAAGAAACAAGCATCATGAAAACATGACACCACCAAATTCACTAACTAAGCAAGTGGAATTTTTATGCAATCAACAAAATGACAGTTCTTATCTATACTTATCAATACTAATTTGAATGTAAAACAGGAAGATGTAACTATTATAAACATAAATGCACCTAAATACAGGGCACCTGGCTATTTAGAAGAATATTAAGGGGTTTAAAGGCAGGCTTAAACTTCAATAAAATAGTAATGGGGGACTTCAATACTCCACATCCAGCAATGAACAGATCAACCAGACAAAAAGTCAACAAGGAAACAGCAGATTTAATCGACACCATAGCCTAAATGGATCTAACAGATATCTATAGAACTTTTCACCCTACAGTTGCAGAATACACATTCTTCTCAGCAGTATATGCATGGAACCTTCTCTAGGATTGACCACATAGTAGGCCATAAAGCAAGCCTCAGCGAATTTAAAAAAAATTGAAATCATACCATGTAACTTCTCGGACCACAATGGAATTAAGCTGGAAATCAGCAACTCAGGAATCTCTAGGACATATGCAAACATGGAGACCAAACAACGTGCTCTGGAATGAACAGTGGATCACAGAAAAAATCAAAAGAGAAATCCAAAACTTTCTGGAAGTAGATGAGGGTGACAATACAACAAATCACAATTTATGGGATATAGCAAAAGCAGTGTTAAGAGGAAAGTTTATAGCAATAGATGCCTACATAAAGAAATTGGAAAGGCACCAAATAAATGAGTTATCAATACATCTCAGGGATCTAGAAAAACAACAGCAAACTAAACCCAAAACTAATAGGAGAAAAGAAATAATTAGAGAAGAAATCAACAAAATTGAATCCAAAAAATTACAAAAGATTGGCAAATTAAAGAGCTGTTGTTTTGAAAAAATAAACAAAACTGAGACACCACTGGCCACCACCTGGCCCAACTAACAAATAAAAGGAGGAAGAAGACCTAAATTAATGAAATTAGAGATACCACTGGCCACCACCAAGCCCAACTAACAAATAAAAGGAGAAAGAAGACCTAAATTAATGAAATTAGAG